AGCAAAAGGACTGGGGACGTGGCTCAACTGGTAGCTTGAGACCCTGAATTCAGTCCTCTATACAATGAGAAATACATGTGTATGTTATATCATTCCATTTATTTAGAGTACTATAATATCTCAAAGTTTTTCTCTACATTTTCTTTATGAAATCTATTCCTATTGACTATATATTTCATGGTATTATGAATAATATTTCTTTTTCTAACTATTTATTGCTGGGGATAGAAATGTAGTAGTTTTGTGAGTTTGATAGACTTATTAACTATGACGATTTTTGATAGATTCTTTGAGAGATAATGTGAATACAGTCATAACATCTGAAATAATTATAGTTTTTCTCCTTCCTTTACAATTCATAATCTTCTGTTTCTACTTTTGCATTATTGGCAATGATCACCAGTGTAAATATTGATAGATGTGATGTAGGAGGATATTCTTCTCTCCTTCACAGTCTCACACATCAAGCTTTCTGTATTTCAGCATTGCCATAGAATTTGATAGATATTCTTCAACAGATTAATGAAATTCCCTTTTATTCAAAATTGTTATTTTTTTCATGTGGGGATTTTGAATTTTATGAAACACTTGTTTAAATATCTTCTGAAATGATCTGACTTTTCTCATTGAATCTATTAATGTTGTTAAATATACATACTGATTTTTTAGGATATTGGAATTTAAGACTTTATATTTTATTATACTCATGTATTATTGGGATATATCCAACATGGTCGTGATTTTTATTATTTTTGTACATTATTGCATTGTCTTCCTGATACTTTGTTGAGAATTTTGCCAAGATGTTTATGAGCAATTAGTTCTCCAGTTTTGATATAAAGATTATGCTAGATCAATAAAATGAGTGAGTGTGTTTTCTCATTTTCTTTCTTTTATGATTGATAACATTTTGTGCCCTAAGAAATCCTTGCCTATCTAATGTTGTGAAATTTTCTCCTATTTTTCTTCTATAAGCTTTATGGCTTTAGCTTTAATATTTTAGTTTCTAATCTATCTCAATTTTTGTGTTATGAGGTTAAGATTGAGGTTTGCTTCTCCAGTTCCAGTGACTTTATTGAAACAAATTTTTCTTTCCCCATCAAATTGATATGACAATCAGTTCCCATATGTTTGGACTCTATTCTGTTCCATTCATGTACTTGTCTATACTGATAACGCATACATTTTAATTATAGTTTGATAATATATCCTGAAGTCAGTTAATATAAGCCATTTTATATGTCTTAGCTAACACTTCATTGTCATATGACTTTAGAGTAAGCTGGTCCATATCTATTAAAAAATAAAAAAGCTTGTCAGAATTTTAATTGGGTTTGTGTTGGAATCTATAGCTCAATTTCAGAAGAACTGACAATATTGAAACTTCCAGTCCATGAAGATTATATATCTTTACATATATTTAGGTTGAGTTTAATTTATGTGAGCACTCTTTTGGTAGTTTTCAGTATGGCTGTCTTACCCATCTTTTGTCAATTATAATTTTTTAAAAAATATTTTTGAGATGGGGTATGTTCCATAGACTAGCATTGAACTCATAATCCTCCTATGGAGCTCAGCCTCCCAGGTTGCTGGGATTTACAGGCACACACCACTGCCCTTTTCTATTATTCTAATTTTTTTTTTTTTTTGCAGTACTGAGTTTTGAATTAAGGGCTTTGCATTTGTTAGACAGGTGCTCTACCACTTGAGCCAGACCAGCCTGCACCAGGATCCTCCTATCTTATGCTTCCCACCATACCTGGAATGACAGGCATGGACTACAATGCCCAGTTTTTTTCTGTTGAGATGATGTCTCATGAATTTATTTTTGCCTGGCCTGGAACCGCAATTTTTCTGGTCTCAGCCTCCCAAGTAGTTAGGATTATAGGTTTGAGCCACCACACCTGTCTTTATTCTAAATTTTTGATACTATTATAAATAGAATTTTTGAATGCTATTTTTTCTGTTATTTTCTGATATTCAAAAATATAATAATATAATATAAACATAATGTTATGTATATCTGAAGTCAATAGTTACACATATTATATGTAAATGTAACTATTTTAAGTAGTGTAATAGACGTTTGGTGTCTCCACAGTATATATGGTTCCAAGGAGACTACCATTGAGGAAGAATTGCAGGTGTTCAGGATGCATAGATGTCTGACAATAATGTGAGACTGACTGAGAGCTGCTCTGCATTAACTGAGTTGCATAATTTGTGTGTTGGGATTGGCTTTTTTTTTTGCCTGCACTTGGTCAAAACCACATATAATGAATCCACAAATAAGTCAGGAGTACAGTGTAGTGTATCCTGTGACTTATGATAATTCACTTACTATTTCTAGTTAAATTTCTTTGAATTTTTTCAATATCAATAAAAATAATTTTATTTCTTTCTAATCTTCAAGCTTTTTTCTTCTCTTTTTTCCTTTCTCTTATTTTTCTTATTTTAATGACTAAGACCTTCAAAAATGTTGTATAGAAGAGATGAGCATATACATCCTTGCCTTTTAGGATTCTTGGTAGAAAACATTTAATGTTTTAGCAATTAATTATGATGTTTATTTTTCCTTTCAGATATTATCACATAGAGGCAATTCCTTTCTATTCCATTTGCTGAGAGTTTTGGTTCTTTTTTTTTGACATCATGAATCAAGGTTGAGTTTTATCCAGTGCTTATTCTGTATTTATTAAAATCATATTTTTTCCTCTCCTTTATTCTGTTAATGTGGTAAATTGCATTGATGGATTCATAAATGTTAAAACAGCTTCTAATTCCTGTAGACAAATACATTTATTCAGTATATATTGTCTTTTGTTTATATTACTGGATTTAATGTGCTAGTAAAGAATTTTTGCATCTTTCTTGAGGGATATTAGTCCATAATTTCTACACATAGTTCCCAATGGGCAAAGACAGTCTTTCACTTACTGTTATATCCCAGTCCCCTCTCTCTAATACCAACCACAGAAGAGGTATGTTACAAATAGTTATTGGGAGAAGTCAAATGATTTAGCCTGGAGACATGTATTCATTAATTTAAAATGTTAATAAACACTCATTCAACAGATATTTACTGAACTCCAACTGTGTGCCAGGTACAGAGCTACTGCTTTGGGTTTGCCTCCTCCATCTCCAGCCACTCCTTCTCAGTCTTCTTTTCTCATTGTTTTTCATGTCTCCAACCTCCAGCATTGAAGGGCATGAGATACAGTCTTGAGCCTCTTACCTTACTCTTTGGTAATATCTAATCTCATGGCTAGAAACACCACCTGCAAATGAAAACAACTCTAAACAGTCTCTCTCATGCCTGCTAGCCTGGTATGTATATTGCCTCCTCAGTACATCACCACTGGATACCAAATGGGCATCTCTAATTTAGCACATCTAAAATTGAACTAACACCCTTTCTCTTAACTTTGTCCATTCTAGAACAAGATAGCTCCAGTCTTTACTTGGCAGGTCAGATCATGGTATCATCCTTAATGCTTCACTTTCTCTAATACCTCATCAACCATCCTCCACAAATCTGTCAACTACACATTTAGAGCACAGCATATCCAGAAAGCCACCACTTTGCCCACTTCTCCTACCACCATTCTGATCTAAGCCATCATCATTTTTGCTAGATTATTCCATAGTTCCCTAATGGTCTCTACAATTTCCCTTTGAGTTTTCCAATCATAATGGCCAGAACAGTACCTTTAAAAGGTAGGTTAGATCATATGCCCACTTCCCTAAATTCCCCCAGAAGGCTTTCATCTTACTCAAAATACAAATTGATAATTCTTAAATTTTGCTACAAAATCCCTCTTGTTACCTGCCTGACTTCATCCCTTCCTTTCATTCATTGGGCTGTAGCCACTGTGGCTTCCTTGCTATTTCTTAAACACACTAACTCCACTCCCACCATAGGCTGGTTCATTTGTTGTTTCTCTGCCTTGAATGTTCTTCCATCAGTTTTCATAGTTTTTGGTTAATTTCCCTACTTCCTATAGACTTTTACTGAAATGTCATTTTCTCTTAAAGCCCTCCCTACCCCTTTACTCTAATTGGAGACACATACCTAAGAAAAGTCTATTATGCTTCTCTGCTTTATTTTCCACCTTAATACTTTTATTACCTAAATCATCATTAATGAACTCTAACCTCAGTGAAATCAGGGATTTTTATATTATTCATATTATGTGATAGAACAGTGTCTATCACATAATAAATATTTTTTGAATAAATAATTAAGTGAAGGAGTGAATGAATATAAAAGTTATAAGGTAAACCCAGTCCCTGATCTCATTGAGCTAACAACCTCAATATTAGTGAGTGAAGTTAATGAAATTTTAATGGGGGGAGGTGTAAAGGGAGGGAGGAAGAAATCCAACACCAGTGGCACACTTTGTGGGTTGCCCACCTGGTGGAAATGTGTCCAACAAAAGAAAGCCATCCTCTATCAAGTAGCAGAAGGAAACAAGATAATGCAGGATCTTGGAAGCAGAGAGGGAAAAGTGCAAGAAGAATGAGGGCTATAAGTAGGACTATAGTTGTTGAGGTGAGGATCACTAAATCCTTTAAGAGTTAATGTTCATCAGGTTCATGGCAGGAATGTTACCAGTTCCAAAACTAGTTTCAGGCAGATGCAAAGCTAATGGTATACTGAAGCACATCTGTGTACTATGAATCATCTACATGATATATGTACTTAGAAAGAGTAATACAAGTTTCTTTAAATAACAAGACAAAGCCAGGGGGAACATGGTGGTAATTTGCCATTAAAAGGTTTGCTAGAAAGTTTCTCACAAAGGAGCCTTGTGAAATAATCCTACTTTCCCCGATTTGAAAGCTCTCGACCTGTGTTCTGTGAAGGTCATTGTCTGCCCTATGAGTGACAACCTGCATGTTCATTGCAGGTCTTAGATGCCAGTCTCTGTTCTCATATCTTTGAGATGACTTTTGCTGGGTTTTTGAAAATTAAGTATTTTTCTATTTTAAATCAACAGGTTCCGTTTTTTGGGCCACTGTTCGATGGAGCCATAGTGAATGGGAAGCTGCTGCCAAGCCTTATATGTGCCACATGCATCAACGCCAGCAGGGCTGTGAAGTGCCTCATCCCACTCTACCAGAGCTTGTATCTTTTTGCTGTAAATATGTAATTGATTAACCCTCATGGAATCGAAATTCCTGGCAGGTTTTCAAGGCAGGTAAGTATTAAAAACTGAGTCAAAGAGAGAATTTTTTTCAGTCTTTGTTGAAATAATAGTGTGATTTTCATACCATTTGTTGATTTATATTTGGTATAGTGATTTTGGGCTACATCAAACTTAGGAAGAATTTATTTTCACAACTTACTCACATAGGTTTGTGTCTGAGAATCTGTGACTATCATGGATGCTCATGATGATTTGTTTTTCCCCAAGTTCAGACTCTTCCTTTATCTTCTCTATGTGTGGTACTTCATCATGTATAAAGAGGAATACAAAGCAAAATATAGCAGTCCCATTCAGAACACCTCCCAGAAACCAAAAGCAAATAAAATAACTGTAATAAACCAAAGAATATGGCAAGTGCCACCTAAGAAGTGCAAATAGACTTCGAGGCAGTCAGATGGAGAAATTGCAGATGCAATTTGGAAGGAGAGAGGCAACCTGAATGAAGGTGCATGTGGACTTATAGGTAAGAATGGCTAGAAATTCTTTCATAATTCCTGTAATCATTAATATTTCACCTTTTAATTCCTGACCTTGTCTCTAAAAATAGAAGAAATTTCACTTTCCTAATTTTTCTCTCAAAAATTGTCATGCTATAATCCTTAAATCTGAACATGATCTCTAAGTAGAACATAAAGAGATTAAGGTGAGTGACTTCATATAATTGTGTCAAAAAATATCTGACCTCCTAATAAAAGTTAGAATTTCTTTGTTTCTAATCAGTATTAGTAATGATTAAAAAGGCATTTTGTTTGACTTTTCTCCACATACTTCTCCCAGCCTAACTGCAGTTGATACATTGCTAACAGGTATAGGGTAAATGAGAAGTATCACGTGTAAACAGATACAGTTCATGAAAAATACCTTTCATTAAAATCCTGATCACTTCATTGATCAGATTTTAAAAAAATACGTATGCCATGTGGCAACGTAGAATTGTCATAGAAATTAGTAGTAGAAAAGAACTATTAAGTCCCATCTGGTCCCTCCCCTGGGGCCAGGCCACATTATTCCCACTAGCATACTCTTGCTTTATCCAGGCTGGTGAGGAGTGTTTGGAAGATGGCATTCTCTGCAGAGACTTCCACAGCACTCTAGACTTAATCTTATGGCTGCTGGTAATTTGGTCTCTAGCCTAGAGTTTTTATTTCACATGCAGTTTAAAGGAGCTTCTTTAAATGAGAAATGAGAGAGACCTATTCGGTGGTTAACTTGTCAGTTTGATTACCAGCAAGGATGAGCTGGGCACCATCAGTCAAGTATGTTGGACCAAGGCAACAAAAAAAGAATCACTTGCAAATAAGGAGATTTCATTTTATGTAAGTCCATTGTGATTTTTGTCAAGCCACCTTCTCTACTTACCAAACTTTGTTGAACATACTTTCTCAAATAAATAATATGGCATCATGGAGTAATCAGGCTTAAGAAAAACAATATTTTTTAAAAGTTCAAAACATAGTATCCAGTATCATTTTAAAAACTTTCCAAGGAATCATATCAGGATGAATGTAGCTGTCAGCTGAAGCTACTGATGCTGATGTGGGTTAGTAAATTCTGTACTCTAAAACAGCTCATAAAGTAGACAACTTGACATTTTAGGGGACAAATTGGCACAGAAATTAGGAAAAAGTAACAATCTGTTAATCATAAAATTTTTAAATATTGTATTTTATATTTTGAGAAAGTTTAATTGGTGCTATTCCAATAAATTATTTAAAAAATAAATCAACTATTCATATTTTTATAAGATGTAATCATGCAAAACTTTATAACCATGTAACTACTCTATTCTTTGCTTTCTGTCTGCAGAAGGGCTATATTCAGGCCAGAAATGAGGGATATAAGAGAAAATGAGGAAAGTGGAAAAAAGAAAAAAAAGCGAATTTTTATATTTTCGGTCTTTAAAATATGTACTAATTTTTAAAGCTATATATGTGCCTTTGTTGGCTATTAATAATTAACTATTCCCTTAACATTTATTAAAACATCCAGGTTCACACATTCATTGTCAAAAATTTAAGCCCATTTGATTATGTCATAGCTGATGTCTGGAATTTGCTGCTTCATTGACACAAGTCTTAGATTTGAATTTTGAAAAACACTGAATAACCTAACAAATCCTAATTATGGGTATCTAATTACATTTATTCATTTACTAAACAAACAGTTCCTGGGGACTATCTGCCAAGTCCTGTGCTAGAAGCTGAGGCTATAGCAGTGAACAAGGGAGACCAGGTTCTTGATAGTGTGCTTCACAGAGAAGACAAACTAAGGAATGCATAAGCTAATTGAGAGAAATTCTATGAAGAAATGAATAGAGAGTTGGGTTGAACAAGGGACAGGGCAGGAGAGAGGCCTCGCCAAGGAAACAATGTATAGGCAGACATTAAAGGATGAGAGAGAAGTAGATCTCAAGAGCAGGGGTGACATTTTGGACTAAGGGCACAAGGGCTCAGTATTCTAGAGTGGTAAATTGTGTTTTGTGGAGACTGTGTCCATGTTCAAGTTCATCAAGATGCCTATGACAGACCCATGAACCAACTTTGGCAGAGATGGTGTTATGAGTGATCCCAAGGAAGCCTCCTTGACTCTTTCTTTTAATGCACACCTCAGAAGTCCTCACCTTAGTACAGCATCCTTGAGTGAGCAGCCAGGTCTGCCTGATGGAGGGTAACAGGTGAGGAGGGAGCATAGGAACCATCATCACCCCACCAAGCCCATATAAGCCCCTTAAGGGCTAAAGAGATTAGCAGTATCTTGGATCCAGGGCCAGTGACATAACCTGAGGGTCTTAGTGCACAGTAAGTATGTGGTAGTCTTTTTTTAAAAAGTAGGGAAAGTGCTTTTAATGATACTAAAATATAAAGCTTTTTTCATTCTTCTGTAATCTCCTGACTTGTCATAGTATTCTTATATATGCTATTTCTAAGTAATGTCAGATTTTTTAATTATTAGTATTAATTTATCTAATGCTACCATTGTTAGTTTAACTGCAATGTTAGTTTAACTGCAGTTAAACTAACATATATAGACATATATAGAATCACTAGAATTACAAAGTTCACACTGCATAGTTCATATGTGCACATATATTTTGTTCTTACCAGAAGAGCAGAAGCAGTGCATAAAACCAACTGACCTATATGCATTTTGCTCATCATATGCACATATTCTATCAACATTATTTGTGTGTTTGTTTGGTTTTGGTTCTAGGGATTGAACCCAGGACCTTAAGCATGCTAGGCAAGCACTCTACTGTATGAGCCACACCCCCAACACTTTCTTTCATCACTTTCTAACAACACTTTCTCCCATCAGCTTGTTGCTGAGTAAGGAGGACTGACAGGAAGAAAGACCCTGGGTCATCCTATTATTCATTTTCCTTCTGTGTCACCATTTGCAGAGTAAGTGGTTGGCTACTCCAGGGAAGTAAGTCACTAAGAAAAGATTTGTTAGGGTCCAATTGCTAGTATTGCTAATGTTACTGCAGGTACTAAGCTTTCCTCTGTATTCAAAGCAAGCTCTGTTTCAGTAGGAGCGAGTAATCTCTTGGGTCAGTCAGTCCCCATGAAAACTGAGTCACAGAGGAAACATGCTTCCCATGTGTACACCCACTAAACTTTGCCTGCAACCCATGCCAAAACCCACAGTACAAGTAAGGAACTCTATCCCTGAGTGTCCAGAGCCAATTCCCTTCATAAGGCCCAGCATATATACCTTGGCAAAACTGTATTAGCATATGAACAAAGAAAGAAGAAAGCAGCTTGTATGCACTACCCTAGAAAAAGTTCATTTAAGAGACCAATAATCTGGACTAGGTGAGGTGGCTTACACCTGTAATCCCAGCTACTCAAGAGGTGGAGATCAGGAGGATTGCAGTTTGAGACCAGGCCAGGCAAAAAGTTAGCAAGACCACATCTCAACAAATAAGCTGGGCATGGTGGTGCATGCTGTAATCCCAGCTATGCAGGAGACATATATATGTGGTCTGAGGCAGGTCCAGGCACAAAATGTGAGACTCATACACATCCAGCACCTAAAGCAAAAAGGGTTGACAGTGTGGTTCAGGTGTTAGAGCACCTGCCTAGCAAGTGCAAGGCCCTGAGTTCAAACTCCAGTACTTCTGAAAAATAAAAAATAAATTTAAAAAGAGAAAGCCCAAAATCTAAGGAAGATGTACTATTGCCTGTTCTCTTGAAGTACTAAGTAGTGTTGAATGGTAACAAAAAAAGGAAAATTTCATTGTCAACAAGAACATTTTACTATGAACAGCCTTCTATCTCCTCTTAGGCAGAACCTCACCAAACTGCTTACTTTCCAAGTGTCAGCATAACCACTCTGTTAACATAACACTGTTCGTTTACCTTCTATGAATCCTTTAGACTGTGAACACTCATTTTGTATCAATAATATGTAGCCAGACATTGAACCTGATGACAAATGAAGAAAAGAGTCAGTAGAATTACTTTAAAATAGTTTTCTTACTTCCCTGTTCCCTCCCCAGCTAATGATTGGTATATTTAAGCACCTTAGAATATGGTCAATAGGGATTCAGATTCAGATTTAACTATAAGTATAAATGTAGGTAATTACTTACCAATTTGTTCAGTGGTGTTGAGGAAAATACAACATTTCTGATTAAGCTGGTGATTGGGAGCATTACTGGAACAAATTTGCCTTTTTTGGATTTTTTGAGCAGTGAATCCAGCTTAGAATCAGTATCAAAGGAGTTCTTGTTTGGGGTTCTTTTGGCTAACTGATCAAACAGTTGGAACTGGAACTGTGTGGCAAAGGCACATAGAAGATTGAAAAATACCATTGTGTACATGTTCAAAAAAAAAAGAAAATGTGAACACAGTAGGGCTGTGTTTAGAAAGTACTTTCCACAGCATTTCAGCCTTGCCCCTTTGTCCCTAATAGGTTTTCCTTTATCTTCCTCAGTGGGCTAAACCAAATCAGTCAATGAGGCCTTCATCTTATGGCCACTACTCTTCCGAGTGACGAGGGCCAACTCACCTACCATCTGCCTTTTCTGTCCCTCATGGGTAAGCAGAGGGTCTATTCCGATGCTTAGACCATGGTAAATTGGAAGCTTGCCATGTATTATGTTTACAGTTTCCAAGCCAACTAAAGATTCCAAAATGAAACCATGGTTGGCTGTAGAAGTTTCTGGAACTATTTGAGCCAGAGCTTTCATTCTCCTTGTCTTGTTTCAGGGAAAAGGGTGCCTCACACTATGCAGTATGCCCATTAGGAGGAGTTCACCCTGAATCAAACAGATGGTAGCTTTTTAAAATAAATGTCTACTTCAGCAGAACAACAGTCTCAATGGCACTGATCATCTCTACTTTCTGGAGAGAAACATTTGATGAAGAGAACTGGGCTGCCTAAGAAAAAATAATTTTGTACCTCATTCTTTCACAAGTAAGATTTATTTTCATTTAGAGTTAACAAATATATTTGATTATACCAGAGTTTCTGTGTTAGACTTATCACCTCACAATATCACTGCTAAATTCTGCTCCCAGTTTATACATCTTCAGAAATGACCCCTCTTCCTAAAGATATCACAACTGTGTTTCCTTCTTCTCCAGTGGATCTTTGGTTCTTCTTCCTGCAAAGACCCTTAATTTCTTGACTTATCTCCATAAACTCCAGAAAGGAAGTTGAGCCATACCATATGTTATATTTTCTCAGAAGGCAGAGATCAGGAGGATTGCTATTTGAAGCCAGCCCTCGGCAAGACCCTATCTTGAAAAAAAATCATCACAAAAAAGGGCCCTGAGAGCTACCGGGTTCCAGGCTGTGCTGCACTTCTCTAGCTGTAGCCTTTCCTTTCTCTCTAATAAATCCTGCTTTACATTAAAAAAAAAAAAAAAAGGGCCCTGAGTTCAAACCCCAGTACTGAAAAAAAAAAGAACCAGTTAAGCATTTGTCAGTATTTACAGGGTCCCTTTCCTGTGCTAGGCAGTGTCCTGGCCACTAGGAATAGAATGAGTAAGATATTCCAAGAGAGAGGAAAATATTTGCTCATGGACCAAGCTTTGAAAGAGCACATCACATTTGAAAATGACAACTGCTTCCATATGGCAGATTATAGGATGTGCGCATGCACACTCAGGCACACTCATAGAAGATGGAGGTGATGACAGCATTTAAGGGCCATGGAAAGAAGTTATGAGAGAGACTGGGGGCCTGATCTATGGGAGTGGCAGAGAATGGCTTGGATACCTGTGGAGGAAGTGGACTGATTCAATGTGAGAACTGGTAGATTTGCTGGGGTATAAAGAGTAATAAGGAAGAAAGTCATAGAACTGTGTGGAGCATTTAGAGATTTGGAAGGAAAAGAGGTAGAGATAGAAAGACAGAAGAAAAGGAAAGAATGGTTTCACAGAAAAGGAAATGAGAGTAGAAGGGCTGCCTTCAGCAGACTAGTCAATCAAGACATATGCTACTAGATGGTCTTCTAGATGCTCCATAGCGGGGTCCAGCAGTCTCAAGTCTTCACCTGGAAAAGTGGGTACAAGAGGACTAGGACCAAGAACTGAATTACCGCAAGGGAAGAGGTCAAAACATAGTGGTAATAATAGCAACAAGAAGAAAGAAAACACTTTAGGGTGAGATTGGAGCATATGAATGGAAAATGCATGGGAGTGGGGCTGGATTTAGAAGAGCAGCAGCCAGAAGGGCATCAGGCCTCAGATGGAAGGGATGGACATTGTTTTTCTAATCCAAATTCCTAAATAGACCCAAAGCAAAATATAGTTGTAATGGGAATTACTACTACTTTATATTAATTCTAAGGTACAGTCTACTAAAAGCAACATAACAGTTGCTAAGTTCTTAGCTGGAAAACACTCTCATCTCTCAGAAGACAGGAAGCAAACAAGGGAATCTACTACTTTGGATCCATTTCTTAGTACTTTGAAAGAATTATGACTTTGAGTATTGCAGAAACTAATTGACTTATACTAGAACTTACACTAGAGTTTGTATAACAGACTGTACCACCTGACACATGGGATGTACAATGCAAGAAAAAAAGCTCAGAGGAAGAAATGAAATTTCTTTGGGTGGGTTAAGATTGAAGAAAGGAATGAGGAATGAGAGATTTTTAACAATGGAATATTTCTCTGAGAAAGAAAAAGGGAGCCATGGAAGTGCAACTAAAGTAGTTGCAAAAGAAAGTGGTCACTGTTGAATTCTTTTTTAAAATCTGTGCATTGAGATTAAAGGAGAGCTCTTGGCCCTATTGTTAGCATGTCAGCATTGTTAACAGCATCCCCAGAATTCTCCATCTTCTAGAACTCCCACATCCTCTGCAAATGGGAAGGGAAGGAAAAATGTTTTAGTGAATGAATTAAAATGCAAATCACTGAGAATACAATGAAGTAGGGAGGGACTGGTCCCTGCAAGTAAGATCCTGATTCCGGCCACCCATATCAATCAGATATGTAAAACAATCAGATATGTTCTCAGAGCTATGAGAACTCTTTTGCCTGTTTGCTTGTTTATTCATTTGCTTTCATGTAGAATAAAGGATGCCCCCAAAACAGGAAAATATTTTCCTCATTTTCGTATTGTATTAAATTATGAATTTTCAAATGTTACATGGATCCTTTGTATAATTATTAGGCTAAATTATTAAATAGTGTATAAGTCTTCAGAAAGAATAAGATATCTCAAACACACTGTGTTTGATAAGATTACTATTTTTCAGAGCTTAGAGGATGCTTATAAGCATAAATCTTAATTTTGGTAAAATATAAGAATAAGTGTCATGATTATCTGTCAAATACAAGAGAGAACTATGGGCCCCTGAGACCTGGGTGACTTCATTGTGGCCAGACCTGAAATTAAATGCATTAATTCACAAACCACCAGTTGATAAGGGGCCTTTGGTCTAGTATGGTTTCTGTGTCACAGGTTGGCCTTTTATATTCAGCAGTTTTATCAGTAACTGCACAGAGATCAAGAACATATTTATCAGACTGTGATTTATAGGAAAGATAAGAAGGGTAATTTAACC